ACTGCACATAATTATATGTGTAAGAAGCCAGATTTGGTAGTGTCATGATCTGCTGCTAATGCCCACTAAATATGATAAAACGTGTAACTTATTCTCCTTATAATCTGAAGAAACCTGAAAGTTGTCTTACAGTTTCCAAATTCCTACTGCACCATCCATTGACAGAAGAAATGAGGGTAGAAAAAGAAAATTTATGAATTAACCCTGACTCGCCCACCGTTTTTTTAGGTACTACGTCGATATAAAGCTGCCAATGGCCCAACATAAATACTGAACGTTTTAAGAACACATTTGTAAATAGATTAACTTTTAAAAACAACCTTTATTATTATTATTATTATAATTCAGCTTTTAGTGCGATCGATCAACACTGGATTTTCCAAAAACCGCAGCTGCTCGAGCAAAAAGGGAGACGCAGTCATTTAATTATCTCAAACATGTCCACATTTCCACATGTCTGCAAATTGTTTCTAGTGTCTCAGCGATCGGAAATTTTAAAGTGTATTCGTCGAAGATTAGATAAATATTTTGCAATGAGACACCCCTTAGCTAGCTGAGTTTCAAAGGGATGATTATTTGCTCAAATTGGTATGGAATAAGCTTGAAATACAAGCTCGTTGGTAGGTAGAAATTCAGGAATCTTGGGATTTTGGAATTGGAACATGAAAATGAAGTCAGGAGGGAGGTAGTTCCAGATTAAAACATGTGTACTCTATTCTATTCTTGCATTTACATTTCTATTAACACATTCTTTACATTTCTAAGAGCTAATTGGTGAGAGAGTGAATTTCAATTAACCCTGACTCGTCAAGATATTTGAAGTTAATTTACTGTAGAATTTCAAAATTGTTCACACCTACATCATCTGGTTTTATTTAGGTTTTGTCGTAAATTCAGAACTCGAGCAATGAGAAGTGGAAAGGTCTTTCATTATTACATTTATGAATTTTTAACATGAGCCTCGGGCTTATAAGATTACACAAGCGTTTCACACATTTACTGTGCGTGAAGAGGTGGCTGAATTTTTCTGGTGCGAGTGTAACCTCACGCGATACTAAAAACACGAGGATGTTTACTGAAGACGCCAGCAGATCCTATGGTAAAGTCAGGCAACCGTTTCGGCTCCTTTCTAGATCGACCCTTCGCATAAAAGATATGCTCTAGTGCTAGACACAAAGCTCAGTCTCGGGATTTCAAGGTAATCGCTTTTCACGCACTGATAGAGACACTTTCCTTTTTTCCCAGAAAAGAACAAAGCTGTATTGTTTACAAAAATAGCCGAAACAAGCCCATGAGTAATGCATGGCAATGAGATGCAGAGCCATTCTCGACGCGTGTTCCCCGGTGGGATTACACTCGAAGTGTCCGGCCAACATGAAGTTTCTCTTATGCGGTTTGGTTTGTACTTTAACTCTGATTCAAGGTGAGTTGACTGTCAATGCTCAAAACATACATTTGCGATATACTTAATTAGCTTTCGAGATGATGAAAAAAACTCGCCGTTTCCAAGTATGTAATGTACTAGAGATGGAAACCGAAAGCAGCCATTATGAAAATACGTGTTTTACGTAATGTTCTTCACCAAAGCAATCTCTCATCCTTCAGAAAAAATGCAAACATCTACATATATATAAAATCGGAACAATTACGAGATCGCAGATCACTAATAGCAGAGTTTTGAAGGAAAATAGTAATGTAATTAAACAGTAATGCCTCACTGAATGAAATAACTGATTCGCAATTAAAATTATGCATAAAGTCACGACAATTACCTTAAGCGTCATAACCATCCGTGGGCTTCCTGCTTTTCTCGGAAACAAGACACACTTCTAGGAAAAGTTAATAATATATCAGTAATGAAAACGCTTCAATGAATTTTAAGCACAAGAAAGCGTTGTTTGAAACTATTTGAAAATTTACAATTGTTTATAATAGTTTTCCTCATTCTTTCGTTCCTGTAACCGGCATTGATCTCCGCAAAATCGGCAAAATAGCTAGTGTGATCAAAATGAGAGTTCGGAATTTCCATCATGCGTGTAAACGTCTGGTAATCTAATCTCTTCGTAGTGGACATGTGCTCGAATTCCTCCAGAAACCAAAATTCTAACTGAAGGTTTCTCGACCGAACTAAATTGTTGAAATGTGAATACTATGAATGTTTTTTAGAACAAGTGGTGAGCTGTTTGTATATTTTAACAGAGCCGGTTTTAGAAGTTTTGGAAAAGCAAGGATACTATACCAATGCATTTAAGTCCAATTTTCCCTGGGAATCTAAGTAGCATTAAATTATTAAAATTTATAATTCTGAAGATTGCTTTTAAAATTTTTGTATTAAAATTTTTCAGCTATCACAACAACTGCAAGAGCTGTCTGTCTGGATTCTACAGTTACATTTGCAGTCAATTCTGGAGTTAACGCAAGCCTTCCTTTCAACGCATCAGATTATGAGAATCAAAAAGATTTCCGAGTCTATCGTGCTCAGAGAAACTCTATAGAATTTGCTCACATGACAAAAGATGTATCGAAGGGCGATTGTTCTGGTCCACTGTCGGATCTTTGTGTGAAGGGGAAGATAGAGTTTGCGAGGGATAACCAAACCCATTTGTTATTGGTGAAGATCTTCCATACCACTGTTAATGACAGTGGTCAATACGCAGTCTGGACTAGATTTTACAGTGGTAATTTCCATGACGACGAGAAAACAGCGAAATGCTTAAAGGTGATAAATGTGAAAGTAGAAGGTAAGGAATGTATATGTGTCATCTTTATTATCAAAGTATCCTGCTACTGTTCCCCATCAGAGAGCAAGGAGATGTCTGAGGTTATCAACTATTTTATTCCCAAGAACCCACCACACTAAACTGCTTGAGACTTTGGTTTGTTATTTTTTCGCAGTTCTGTCAGCTTCAGATCCTTTCGAACTAACTTTGAGACGAGCAGGGGAGTTTACGAAAGCTTTTGGCTCTGTCTTGTTACAGCAATGATTAAACATATTTCAAAAACATATCATGTTACATTCTGTACAGTTCAGTTAACGGAAAGGTATTTTGTAGTCAGGACCGCTGTCTCTCTTGTTTCTTGAAACTGAGCATTTCTTCCGCGGAAATCTACTTTTAAATCTTTGTGTAAACTAAGGCGGCCCAGCATTGCTTATTCTAAACCAGTTTCTACCATGAATTAATAATCCCGCTTTTTATCTACAACATTTCTACTAAATTCATACATAAAATGCACAATTTAAAATATATCATCATTCATGTCTTAGATAACACTACAGTAGCCACGACAAGTCCAGTTTCTCAGTCGACTCAAGTCTACAGCACCAGCAGCAGCCCAGGTAAGCGTTGACAAAGGGAGTAGTCATTCGTACCCTGTAACACACAAATCATTACTGTACGCTACGCTTCTGGATAAGCAAACCATGCACACTTTTTTCACTGCCCGATGAGCTGAAACTCAAACTCACTTGAAAGCTTGTCTCGAGAGTTTTGAACCTCCTGCCCTCGGATTTCTTAGAATTGATTACCGTATAGAGATGCAGTCTTTTGTGGAAATTGTTAGGCTTTGGATCTTCATACACTGCTCCAGTCGTAAAGAAATGTACAAATCATGTGATAATTTTGCCGGAATGGATGACGGAAGTGACATTGAAATAAACTGCCTTGCATGGTTTAACCTGGACAACATCTGCCATGAATTATTAATTCCGTTATATAAATTACTGATTGTATTTTTCTAAATTCATGCTGAAATGTACAAATGATATCATGTCAGTTTTAATTTATATAACTCCACAGAAACCCCGACAAGTCCAGTTTCTCAGTCGACTCAAGTCTACAGCCCCAGCAGCAGCTCAGGTAAGCGTTGCCTGGGGGAGTAGTCACGTTTAGTCTTTAACACACGGCTTTATTGACGGCTTATCCAGTTCAACTGAGTTGATAATGTAATTTCCGCCATTAAGAGATTCAAAAGCTAATATCTCGAGCGTCAACCTCTCGTCAGAGTAAATCAACAGCTAGATATAAGCTCCTCATATACGAACGACAAGCCACGTTAAAGATCATTTTGCTCTATGTAAACCCTAGACTGAGTTCCACGCTGGCATAACTTCTCGAATGTTTCCGGCCCCCTCGTGTCCAGATGAACATGTAAACGCGAGAAAAGTCCTCTAATTCTTTGCTTCCGATGTTTGGATTGTTTCAAGCAATTCCGGCCATCATTTCATAACCCTTCCAATTTCTTTCCGGCTGGAAGTGAACGTAACGCTTCCTGGAGCAATAAAAAAATAATAGTAAATGTCATCTAGGAAACAATGATAAAAGCCACAAAGTGCTACTAAATATTAAAGATAAAAAATTCTCTCGAGCTCAAAATTTCATGGTCTATTAAAATTGAACCAACGACATAAAGATAAGTAGCCTTCAAATAATAAGGACAACCAACAAAATCCGCATCAAAATTTCTCAGCTTATTAGTTACAAAATCTCACCTTTTGAGCAGCCATATTGGATTCCTATACGTTCGCTACCTCGCAGAATACATTTGTGAATATGCAAAACGCCTCCGGATAGGCTTCAAGATTTGTGATTGAACCGAATACTTGTTTATCAGTGTTAATATTGAAGATACCTGCTAATAAACTAGGACACTAAACAACTAAGGTCTACAACAGTAAGGAGAAATTCCCTCTAGTGAGTAGTTCTGACATCAGCTCTTTCTAATTTTTTGCGTGCTCACTTCTTGCATATCATTCTCACCTGACTTACTTACCAGCGTGAATATTGTATCTTTTATTTTCCAGGTCCCGGAGGGAAGACAGCAGTGATTGTACTAGGGGTTCTTTTAGCTATCACATTGCTCATAATTGCCGGCGGTTTACTCTATTATTTTAGATGTCTTAAAAAGCCTAAACCATCAAAATCAGGACGTAATGGCGAAGAAATGGATTTCATTTGAGTATAATATAATAACGAGCAAATGGCTCACAATGAAGCGCCAACTCAACCAGACAACTGAATGGCCCAAAGAACCACTGAAGGGAGAGAAATTGTTATTTTCTTTCATTCCGCATTTTATTATTTTCATTCTCCTTATTATGCCGTTACTCTTACGGAAACTGTGGTCAAATAAAAATCCATTTGAAAAATTTATATATTTCCTGACTATTGAGCTATGGGAACGAATTTGACAGAAAGTAAGCCTAACGCACAACTGGAAGTATACATTTTATGGAAGAGCGCAGAAAAGTGAGTAATTTCGCGGGAAAATCAAGTACCAGCGGGACGACTCGGTCAGTCATGGATGAGCACATTTTTTCAATTAAATTCCTCGTATTGTAAATTGTACTAAGACTCTTCTAAAGTATTATTGCCAGATGAGACAGAACCTTCCCACGGAGTGAAGCGATAGGTGATGAGTTCAAAGCGTTTCCTCGTATTTTGGAGCCACTTTTGTAGCTGATTCCTAAGTTACCTGATTTTTCGTACGTAGCGCTGCGAGTGTCAGCACGCAACTGATTAGGATACTCTTTGCGCCAGACTCTGTCGTAAAGAGACCTTTCAGATTGGTTGTTTGGCTTGAACGTAGTCTGAAAACTAATCCTAACCATGGTCAACAAATGAAATGTTATATGATGTTGTTGATTGGGTGTTTGCTTTCATTTATATTTTGAATCACTGAATGTTTATGTTTACAGTGAGCTCAAACAAAAACGAGAATCTGTGATCTTTGATACAAGAATCAACCTCTGTAGCCACTTTAGGAATTTTTTTTCTCAAAATAATGGAAGACTTGTAAAAAGGCAGGTTTCTCTATTTCATCCCCGGGCCTAAATCTAAAATATCCTAATAATTAACGTATTTGTTAATCATTATCAAAGAATCGTTCTCACTTTCCATGAATTTAACCTGTTGATTCTGCATATCTCATGGCCAAGGCACCTCAAGCAAGTCACCCTACGGTCTTAACATCATGTTAAAATTCCTATAAAATCACCATCTCATTCATTGGCAACTCGTGTTAATTTTTAGCAGTCCTAACCGTCACTCCACTGGATACATTTTCTCCATAACGCGAAAATTTTGTCTGGATGTACAGGTATAAATGATTCTCGGCGACTCTAGGGTTTAGCAGTTGAAATGAAAATATGACATCTTCATTGCAATCACACAACTGTTTCCTGTGGTTCCACTTTGATTTTGAACAATTTCGAAATCATTTCCATGATCAATAAGAGCAAAGATAATGGCAAAATTTTTAGAAAAATTTAAACTTGCGACCTGCGTCGATTTTCTTTCTTAGCAATAACCTCATATCGATCACCGACTAACGTGAACGGAAGAGCAAAGTGCGAGACAACCTTGCGCAAGTAAGCGATCTAAGCAGAAGAGGGAATGATTTGTCTTCTTTAGCGGTCAAAGAATCAGTTTAGCTCTTTAAAACTTAAAAGTTTGGGCAATTAGCTACCATCTTTATTGTTAATATTTAATTTCAATAGTAAAGTGTCAACTAATTAGTTATTCATTCCTGATCGCGTGACGCGATCAAGACTGATATTTTGTTAGTAATATCTTTGTTGCGCTGACTCAGCACATGTTAGAGCCATGAAACGTGTAAACTATTGCACAACCTTAGTACAATGGATATTCACTGTTTACTTTCTATCTCAAGGTAAGTTAAGAGCGTCAAAAGATCTAAATTTATCTTTAAATTGAGAAGTCCCTTTCAGGGCCGACGCTTCGCAAAGTATTCGTTTCAAGAGAAGCTGTATATCCGTTTGAAATAGCCGTTCATAATCAATCGCACATATTTCACCCCATTCTTCGACAATAGACGCTCTTTTTGGCCTCTTATTTCGACTCTAATTGTGTGATTATGATTCAAAACCAAGAGCTCTTTGGTTTTGTCGTGAGTCCCAGTTTGGTTTTGCGGTGAGCCGGCATTTTAGTTTTACCATGAGGTATTTGTTATAACCGTGACGGTTGTGTTGTGGGCCTGCGTTTTATTCCGATTCGGCTGATAAACTAAACAACGGTTTAAATACTATCACTGAATAAAGGGAGTAAGTTTCTAAAGAAACTGTGGGGCTGCGTCAGTGGTAGAGTACAACAAGATAATTTGGTTATAAGTTGATGATTTAAAGGCTTGAAATGAACAACAAAGTACTTTATCATAATGCTTCCGGTCAACGTAATTAACCTCTGGTAATTTAGTGTTAACAACTGGGTTGAAAACGTAAACTAGCCACCGTAAAGGGTAAAAAAGCTGACGTTTCGAGCGTTAGCCCTTCGTCAGAGCGATAGTAATTAACCTCTGACTGCGTTAGCCAAAAAAAAAATCTTTCCCGTGGGTCCAAAGCAAGGTCAACACAAACTATGCACATCCAATGGGAAACTCATAGAAGATAACTTAAAATCAAATAACATCGGATTATCAGTTCATAGAGTAACTAAATTCTCAAAATAAACAAAAGACCAAATCATTCTAAACTGACAAACTAATTATAAACGAACTTAATATTTCATAACAAAGCCGAATTATTTTGTAAATACTATATCGTTGTTTGTTATAAATATACATAAGTTATTCACCAGCCGAGAGATCCGTATCATTACATCAATGCAATAAAGTCTAAATTTACTCGGGTATCTGAATAACATAAAATTTAAAACTCTGAAGATTGCTTTTAAAATTTTTGTATTCGAATTTTTCAGCTATCATGGCAACTGCAGGAGCTGTCTGTCTTGATTCTACAGATACATTTGCAGTCAATTCTGGAGTTAACGCAAGCCTTCCTTTCAACGCATCAAATGATGAGAATCTAAACGATTTCCGAGTCTATCGTGCTCAGAAAAACTCTATGGAATTTGCTCACATGACAAAAGATAAATCGAAAGGCGATTGTTCTGGTTCATTGTCGGATCTTTGTGTGAAGGGGAAGGTAGAATTTAGGAGAGATAACCAAACTCATTTGTTACTGGTGGAGATTTTCCATACCACTATTAATGATAGTGGTCAATACGCAGTCTGGGCTAAATTTAACAGCGGTAATTTACATCCAGACGAGAAAACAGCGAAATGCCTTAAAGTGATACATGTGAAAGTAGAAGGTAAGGAATGCATATGTGTCATCTTTATTATCAAAGTATCCTGCTATTGTTCCCCATCAGAGAGCAAGGAGATATCTCAGTAAGGTTATCTACTATTTTATTCCCAAGTAACTACCACATTAAACTACTTGAGACTTTGGTGTTGTTATTTTTTCGCAGTTCTGTGCTTTAGATCTTTCGAACTAACTTTGAGACGGGCAGACTGAGAAATTTATGAAAGCTTTTTGCTCCCTCTTATTACAGCAATGAATAAATATATTTCAAAAGCATCTTATATTAAATTCTGTACAGTTAACGGAAAGGACATCTGTATTCAGGACCACAGTCTTTCTTTTCCCTTGAAACTGAGCATTTCTGTCGCGGAAATCTACACTTTTCAAATCATTGTGAAAACTAAGTCTGCCCAGCATGGTTTATTTAAAAAAAATTTCTGCCATGAATGAATAATCCCACTATATATTTATAACTTTTCTACTAAATTCATACGTAAAATGCACGATTTGAAATATCATCATTTATGTCTTAGGTAACTCTACAGAAACCACGACAAGTCCATTTCCTCAGTCGACTCAAGTCTATAGCCCAAGCAGTAGCTCAGGTAAGGCGGCGTTGCCAGGGGGAGTAGTCATTCGTACTCTGTAACACACAAATCATTTTTGAACGCAACGCTTCTGGATAAGCAAACCGTGCACAACTTTTTCGCTGCCTGATGAGTTGGAACTCAAACTCACTTGAATGCTTGTTTCGAAAGTATTGAACCTCGTACCTTCGGACTTCTTGGAATTTATTTCTGTATAGAGATGCAGTCTTTTGTGTAAATTGCTAAGCGTTGAATGTTCATACACTGCTCCAATCGTAAAGCAATGCACAAGTCATGTGATAATTTTGGCGGAATGGATGACGGAAGTGACATTGACATAGACTGCCTTGCATGGTCTAGTCTGGGCAACACATGCCATGAATTACTAATTCCGCTATGCATCTATTACTGATTTTTTTAAAACATTCATGTTGAAATGCACAAATGATATCATGTCAGTTTTGTTTTTGATAACTCCACAGAAACCACAAGTCCAGCTCCTCAGTCGACTCAAGTCTACAGCCCCAGCAGTAGCTCAGGTAAGCGTTGCCAGGGGGAGTAGTTACCTTTAGTCTGTAACACACGGCTTTATTGACGGCTTACCTGCGTTG